CGGGGAGAGCGGGGGGCGGTGTGGCCGGCGACCCGGGGAGAGCGGGGCGGTGTGGCCGGCGACCCGGGGAGAGCGGGGCGGTGTGGCTGGCGACCGGGAGAGAGGGGAGAGGGGGGCGAGGTCAGCGATCCGGGGTCACCCGCTCCCCCAGGGAGGGGGGGTGGCGACCCGGGGAGAGGGGCAGAACAGCTGTCCGTCTCCTCTCTGGAGAGTGTTGCCCTCTGCAGGGTGAGCAGTGGGTGTCTTGGGGACTTTTAGGTATCTCCCTGGAGGTCACAAGCACTTTTCATCTGCAGCAAAGATCTCCCTACTTCCTTTCTCTGTTAAGCCCACTTCTTGTCCTGTAAACCTTGCTGATCCATTAAGATGCAAAACAGATTTTTTTTTTTTCTGAATACTGCCATCCCTGACTTTTGAGGCAGAGTCTGACCACCTGCCACCTTGTGGTCTCCTGTAAAGCCCTGGGGCTCACTGTGCCTGCATGCCTGCATGACAAGAGTCAGTGTGCAGGCCGAAAAGCTTGCTAGAGTGACCAGCATGGAAGTATCTGGGAGGCCTACCCCTTCCCAAGCGGCCATCTCTGTGCATTGAAGCCAGTGGTGTGGGAAGTTTTCCATAGCCTGAGAATGACTAAGTCCTAGGGAAACTGAGACTTGTAATTGGGCTGTGAAATGGGAGAGGGAGGATCCTGAGGAGGTAGATTCTCTCTTACTTGGGGAGCAGGGCTGGGGAGAGATTCCACAGTTTATTTCTTGTCTGATGAGGCCTGCCAGGATGACCAGAGCTCTACAGGGCCATTGATCTCTGTGTTACACAGAACCTGCCCTGTAGGGCCTGAGCTAGATGAGAGGAGTTGGCACCTTGGTTAGGGCCTTGGTCCACAAAGCTCCCCTCCAGCTGTTCAGAAGCCCCAGGAGCTGCCTCAGTCCTGGGTACCAGCTTTAGAAACAGGCAGAAGGCAGGTAAAGGTGGGGTGGGTGTGACCTCTGAGTGAGTAGGTGGGAGAAGAGGCCCACTGGGATCCTGCTGCAGGGTCTCAGCTCCAGCCCAGGTGGAGCTGTCCACCTTGTTTAGCAGGAGGGTAAAATGAGCAGGCACCAGTGCCCAGAGAGGTTGGCTGTGGCTCCAGACCTATGGGGACCACAGTCTCACCGCTCCTCCCCTTGGCACAGGGACGCCCTGGATGCCCTGGGCCTGAAGCGCTACTGTTGCCGCCGAATGCTGCTGGCACACGTGGACCTGATTGAGAAGTTGCTCAACTACGCACCACTGGAGAAGTAGCCACTGGAGCTGCTTTCCTGCTCTACTGATATGGACAGTGTCACGCCAAGTTCATCAAGCTGAGGTGTCTGTGGGTGGCAACGATGCGTGGCCTCAGCCACATGCCCCCCACGCTGGAAGGAAAGTTCAGTAAAGGTCTTGAGAATTACCCAGGTGTCCTGCTGATTGGCCTGGCTTGGGGAGGTCCCTTTGTCATGTCTCCTGCCTGTGTGAAGACTCGGCCCTCCCTCTTACACTGCAGCAGAGCCTACAGTAGGTAGAGCCCTTGGCTGGCTGGGCCCTGGCCCCTTTGACCACTAGGCAAGTCAGATCCACAGGCCTTCCAACAGTCACCCACCTGGTGCCTCTCCTTCCTGTTCCAGGTGGGTGGGGGTGGATTCTGTCCTTGATGCCCAGGAAGAGGGAGAGCTTCCCATAGCCTGACACCCAAGAGAGCTCAGGGGACCTGGTGTTCCACCCTGACATTCCAGGCACAGAGACCCTATCACCTTCTCCCAGAATCTAAAGAACCAGGCTTTCTGGCCTGTGGGAGGGGGTGTTTTATTGTCAACCAACCTAGACAGTGTCTGCTACAGTCATGGCTGCCTGGCCCTGTGCTGCCCGCACCTGAGGTTCTGCTCCAGGATTTCTCAGGCTCCACCAAAAGCCAGGGGAGGGACAGCACCCAACGTCCACAGCTGGGCTGGGGGGCTCTGAGGAGGTTCCCAGCACCCAGGTGTTGGCACTTGGTGCTCCAGGGTCTTCTGGTCATCAGTCCAGGCTGCAGCTGAGAGGTAGATGCCTCAGCCAGTCTGGGCTAAGGGTGTGTGACTGCAGAGGTATGGGAAGCAGCTCTTTGTCTCCTTCTGGGCCAGTCATTAGCTGCCCAGACATCTGACATGAGGTCCTCTGGGGACCTTAGGGACAGGAGTTAGGGTGGCCCCAATAGTGGAGGAGCATCCCCCTACATTCTGCCAGACCTGGGCCTCAACTGCCCTCTGATCCCAGTAGGCCTGACTTGATCCTTAGCCTCTACCTCCAAGCTACCCCAAGTGGCCAGAAGGCAAGACTCAGGCCACACAGGTCTGCTTCCGTTTCCTCCTGAAGGGGTTCCTACCATTGGGCATCCCCTTCCAGTGTGTTCCAGGAAGACACTGGCCACCCTGGACCCTGGGTATGAGGCTCTTGGCTCCTGCCCTCTGGACACAGCAGGTAGGTATCTCCACTCTGCTGGACATAAGAGCACTGAGGACAGGATTATCCTGTCACTAACAGTAAGCTGACCCAGCTGTTCAACAAACATTTATTGAGCACCTATTATGTGGCAGGCATTTGGGATACAGCAGTGGATAAAACCAGTAATACCCTACTCTCGTAGGGACGTTCTAACTGGGATGCAGCACACTTTGTGAACGCGATGTTAAAGAGCAGTGGCAAGAGTTAAGCCAGGCTTTGGCTGATTGGGCCTTACAGCTCTCAGGGCAGCACAAAGGGCTCCTGGTCCCGCCCTGCAGCCCCTGTACCTCTTGGCACCTTCAGCAGGGCCCCTACCACCTGCCTCTGACCACCCATTGTGTAGAGGGTGGGCCTGGGTTCTTCCCAGACTTACCCAGGCATCAAAGAGGGGGTCCTCTTACCAGAACCTAGGTCTCATCCTACCTGCCAGGCCTGGGCCCCAAGCCCCACACAGGTAGACTAACCACATCTTCCCTATGCGGGGGAGGGACCCTGCCCCACGCCTCAGGAAAAAGGCACTTGAAGCCACCCCCAGGGTGGGGTCAGCAGAGGTGATGGTGGTGGCATGCAGGGCACAGACATGAAGATGGGCTCTGTCCTGGCCTTCAGTAGTCAGCTCAGTAGTTAGGTGGGATGCAGCAGGAGGCAAGTGGCCAGGCCAAACCCTGGTGGTCAGTAGTGCTCCAACTTGAGGCTCCTGTATAAGCAGCACGTGAAGACCATGCCAAAGACCTGCAGGTGGTCAGGCAGGCATGAGACAGCACCTCAGGCTAGCAGCCCTCCCCCAGCTCCCCATAGTCGCCCTTATGCCCAAACCTGCACACAAGCGATGCCGATGCCCACGGCCCCGATGACCCTCAGGTGCTCTTGGATGAAGGTTTCCAGCTTGGTGATGCAGCCACCCTGTCAGAATGGGGGTGCTCAAGGTGAGCCCTGCTAGCTCCCCCTAGGTGTAGCCCAACAACCCCACCACCCTGCACCAGGCCAGCCCCTTGCTCACAGTGACCCACCTCCACCTTGTAGATGTTGGAGGCGTGATCCCGCTGCCCACAGCCAGGTACCACTGTCTTGCAGCAGCTGTCGGGGACCACACGGCCACCAGCCTCACCCGAGCGGATCCACTCGCTGTCACGCCAGTCCTGGGAGTTGTTGCTGCCGCAGCAGTGAAACTACAGCAAGAAAAGCTGAGCCTGGGGGCCTGCCAGGGACAGCCCCAGGGGCACAGGCACATCCCCTGCAGGCAACACCCACCTCCTGCTGCAGCTTATCCACAGCACTGGTCACACCCTCATGGCCTGGCTGGTGGTACTGCTTGGTCATGGTGTCCTTCAGGTTCTCCTTGAGTTCTGTGTTCAGCTGAGGGAGGGGGTGTCAGTTAAGACCTCAAAGATACAGAGCTGAGAGAGCCCAGGACAGGGCAAAGGCCCCAGGGTGCAAGGGAAGCTCTAGGGTCTCACAGCAGCTGGTTGGAGGAACTGGGTCACCAGGGGATCATGGGTAGAAGGGAATCTCCAGATACCTGGACACCTTGGGCACTGCAGGCAGGTCACCTGCCCCTGTGGCCACCCTTCCCTAAAAACCTAAACCCTGCCTCCAGGACCTAATGGCAAGTTGGTCAGTGCTGGAGTAGCAGGGGTAGAGATGACACACGTCTCCCAAGGCCTATCCAAGCCCCTCTCACCTGCTGGTAGTAGACGTAGGCCAGGACACCAGCAATGATCTCCAGCAGAAAGATGAGGAGGAGCAGGATGAAGTACTGGGGGGCAGGGACCCAGTGAGGGACTCAGCACCAGGCACCACAGAGCAGAGCACCTACCAGCTCCAAGCAGTAGGTGTGGGGGCCAGGCACCAGGCTCCCCAGCATTCCTGGTGGAGCTGGTGTCTCAGTCTAGCTGGGGGTGGAGCCTGTGGCCCCCTGCCAGCACAGCAGGGCCAGCCCACAGTGACACTAAACCATCAGGGCCCCAGAGACGGTCCCAGGAGACTATAGAGAGGAGCCCCTGGCCAGGACCCTGTGCCCACCACCCCACCAGAATGCAGCCATGCCCCGCTGACCAGGCGCAGCAAGTTCCGCCGCTCCTTGAAGGTGGCACAGCAGCCCAGGACACCGGTCACCATGACGACAACACCAGCCACCACCAGGATGTAGGCAGTAGCTAGGTAGGTGCTTGAGGCCAGTAGGCTGATGTAGTCACTCTTGAGGGCCAGCGTCCAGATGCCCACTGCCATGACAGCCAGTCCAGCCAGCTGTAGGCATGTGCACCAGTCACCACACCTAGCCCAAGTCTGAGAGCCCCAGTTGAGCCCCTAGTCCAGGGCTCAGGTGCCTTCAAGGCCCAGGGAGTGCTGGGTGGGCAGCACGGCACCCAACTCACCCAGAAGCAGCAGTTGTAGGTGAACAGCAGGTACTTGAGGCAGACAGTGCCACATGTCGCCTTCTTCTCGTTGAATTCACCCATCTTGGGGCTGGGGAGGCGTGAAGGGGTCAGAGGGCCTGAAGCATCAGGCCCTGACTAGGAGGGTGGCCACACGCCAGTGGGGATGAGGGAGAAGGCACTGAGATGCACAGGCCCAGCTGAGGCGGATCCAGCCACCTGTCCTGGGAGGCCTGGGGAGGAGCCTCCCTGGCAACCAGGGCATGAATCACTTCCCGGATCACAGCTCAGGAGACTTGACCCCCAAGCAGCCAGGCAGACCCCATGGGCGGCAGAGAAACCCAACCCATCACTCACTGACTCACCCCTGCTGGCAGCCAGGGGAGGAGGCCCCAGCTGACCCCTCCCCCAGCATTCCCGGGCTCCACGTCACTGGCAGGAACCTAACACTTAGAGATAAGTCCCCAGAGGCAGTAAAAGATCCAGGAGCTCAGCCCTGACAGAGGTGCTCTGCACAGCCTCTGCTCCCACCAGGATAGGGAGAATGAAGGAACAGAGAAGTGGCCATGTTCCTGCCCAGAGGCCCCAGGCACACCTGCCCTGCTCACACCAGTATCTGCGCAGGGAGAGCCTGGGGTTTAGACAGCAGCTGGGCACCACTGCCAGATTTCCAGACACCACCTGCAGTCTCTGCCCCGCCCAGCACTCACCAGGCTGTCTGGGAATGACTCCTCTATAGGACAGGTGTACAGAAGTTCCCCAGGACGCTGAGCTAGAGAGGAGCAGAGAACAAGTCCCAGGTCACAGGTTTGCCCTCACGGCAGGATCCTGCCCAAACTCTTCCTGGTGGCTCAGACAGTGGGTCAGATCTACTCAAGAGGCAGAGGGAGGAGCCATCAGGCCCAGTATTTTGGTCTGGGAAGGGGCGGGGTGGGATGTGAGGGCAGAGGACATTTCTGGGCAGTCCGGTCCCGAGAGGAACTTCAGGTCTCCAGGTGCCCCACCCTGGGCCTTAGCTCCACACCGGTCACTGCCCCTCCCCCATCAGGCAGCAGCAGCTGCGGACGGAGAGAGCCACTGATCTCCACCCCGGGGTTCGGCGGGGGTGTCAACAGACTCCCACCTCTGAGCTCTGGGACGGTGACACAAAGCACCACTGAGCTGGGGCCCGAACCCATGCTCTGTCCCTGGAGAGTGGTATAAACAACCCCAGCAGCCGTGCAAGCCCTGGGCCAGGCTCTGGGGACCCCGGCTTCCTGGGGCGGCTGATTCCGGGCAGACGCCGCCCGCACCGGCAGAGGGCAGCGGCCCCTCTTCCCAGGAGTGCCTGCTGGACCTCCTGAGAAAGGGCCGGGCCAGCCGGAAACAGTTCCTGCGGCCTGCCAGGGCTGCTCCACACCCGGCCTTGGACTTCCACCGGCCCTCGTCGTCCCGCCACACTCGGGGAGCCGGGACTCGGCCCCCGCCGACCAGGGAGGAACCCTCGCGTCGCGGCGAAGAGGTCGCTGCCGTCAACGCCCCCAGCCCAGGCGCCACCACTGGCCCCGCCCACTTGCGCCGGGCGGTGGGCGAGCCGGGCGCCGGAGACGGCGGTCCAGGGACCATGAGTAGGGCGTTCGGGCTGCACGTTTTGTGTCCTTGCACACAGGGACTGCCGGGCCTGTCCTGGAACCCCGGAGGCCCTCCCTCGCCCAGCGCCCGTCCCGCCCGGCGCTCGCCAGCGACCTCCCTCCGGCAGGGGCCTGTGAACCGGCTGCGTAGGTGTCCGGCGGACGCGGCCCCCCCGGGCGCCAGCGGCGGCCTCCGGCCCAGAAGCACGAAGGACCTGGGGCGCCCTGGGCCCCGCTCGGACGGGCCGGCTCCGCCGCACACTCACCGACCACGCGACAGAGTCCGGGCCCGGGCGGTGGCTGCGGGGGCGGCGGCTCCCGGTGCGGAGAATGCGCGGCCGCCGGCCGGCCAGGCCCCGCCCCGCCTGCGGCCACGCCCCCAGCCGGCCGACGCCGGGCAGGTCCGGACGCATTTCGGCGGGCGGGAGGCGGCGGTGCTGACCGGGCATCGGGGCGGGCCCGGTGAGCTGCGGCTCCGGGACACTCAGAGCCTTGACAAGCCCGACCCCGAGAGAGGAGCTGGGCGAGAGGTGGGGGCGGCCCGCCAGACTGCCCCCTGGAGGAGGACCGAGTCCCCAGGCCCTGGAGTCCCCAGGCCCAGCCCCCATTTCTCTCTCAGGAACCACTCGGTTTTACAGATGCTGGCCCAGCCTGGAGGTTCTAGCGGAGTGGGCCCATGACCTGGCAGACCAGCTGGGCTGGTGGGAAGCCACTCAGCTCCCTGGTGAAAAGGGGGTTGCTCAGGGCTGGGGATGTGGCTCAAGCGGTAGTGCGCTCGCCTGGCCTGCGTGCAGCCCGGGTTCCATCCTCAGCACCACATACAAACAAAGATGTGTGTCCACCGAAAACTAAGAAATATTAAAAATCCCTCTCTCTCTCTCTCTCTCTCTCTCTCTTGAAAAGAAAAGAAACGAAAAGGGGCTTGAAGCCCCTTGAAGCCAAGGACACATTCAAGCACTCGGGGACCCACAGCCCCAAAAGAGCAGGGTCGTGTGTCTCGGGTGTACCTCTCACATGTCATGGTGTGCCAAGGACGCCTCATTGTGAAGCACACATATGCTGCATCTCCCAGACACAGAAAACCAAGAAGAACACACGCAGTGGACGTTATAGCAGTTTTTGTTTGTTTTGTTTTGTTTTTTCCTTGATGGATAGACAAGGGAACAGGATAAGTATTGGCAAGGGCACACCTGGCAGGGGCACATGAGTCCCTTGAGACCTTTACCACCCACAGGTTAGTTCCTGCATGTCTTTGTGGGCTAGAGCCCACACCCTGAATGGTAGCCCTCCTCCCAGGACAAGTAGCCTTCGAGGGGCAGCTCCTCCAGGTAATGCCCAGGGGAGTCACTTGGAGCTGGTTATCGGGCACTGGGAAGGTGGCCAGACCCACGTCTGGGGGGCCTAGCCCAGCTGCAGCAGCAGCAGGTGGGCCCAGGCCAGCGGGCTGTGGCCAGAGCCTTCTTGTGGCTGCTTCTGAGCAGCCTGGCCTCACAGGTGTCTCTCTCATCTCGTAGGTCTCGAAGCCGTGTGTTCAGCTCCCTAGAGAAGGGGAAGTGGGAGAGCTGAGAACCCGAAGCATCTAAGGTCTTAAGGAGGGAGCAACCCAAGGTGGCAAGGTGGGTTCCGGCTCCCCTCAAACCAGAAGAGAGGTGCCTGGTGGGACGTAGGGATGCTGGAGGGAGGGAGAGAGACATGAGGAGGGACTCCTCCCAGTGGGATGAGGTGGAGGCCAAGAATGTTTGGGAGCTTGGATACCCCTCCGAAGCTCTATTGAGCCCTTCTCCTACCACTGGCCTAGGCCCGACTGCACCTGAGCAGCTCTAGTTGCCGTAGGAGGCTGAGTTTCTCTTTCTGCATGTTCCTGGAGACGGCAACCACGTCCCTGTGGGTAGGAAATGGTGAGCCCTGCAGGCAGGGCCCTCCCAGAAGTCCCTCCCTCCACCCCTACTCCCCAGACCCTGGGGGCAGCACGAGATCTTGGAATGGGGATATAAGTGGCCCAACCGGAGCCTAGCCAGCCAAGGCCCCAACCAACCAGCCCTGTACCGTTGTGTTTGCTCCTGGCGGCCCCGAGCATCACCCTGCAGTCTGTGCAGCTGCTCCTGCACCCCCTCCAGCTGTGCATGCAGTGCCTCACAAGCCTGCCGCAGCTGGGTGTTCTGGGCCTGCGCCTCCAGCTGCTCTGCAGCCCGGGCCTGTAGCTGCCGTTCCAGCTGGGGAAATGGTGTGGGCTGCTGAAGGCCTCCAGATGCCTCACTCGCCCCTCACCCCCAACACCTCTAGGGTTGGCAGCGCTGAGACACAAGAGCACCCTTGAGGAAACTGGGGCTGCCGGGGAGACTGTGGGATGGGGCTGATTGGGGTCCAGCTGCTTACCTCCAGCTGCCGCAAGCCAGCCCTCTCCAGCTGCTGCTCGCGGCTCTGCAGCTGCAGCTCCAGATGCCCCCTTCGCTCCTCCAGGGGAAGGTTCTGGAACACACCGGGGCATCTGAGCCTTCTCTGGCCTCGCAGAGGAGGCAGCGGAGGGGTGGGGTGGGGCCGGGGTGAGCCAGGGAAGGCTGAAGGCTGGTGGGGCCGCTGGGAGAGGAGGAACAGGGCACCCGCAGCTGGGGAACCCTCGGGGAGGGACCGGTTTGAGGGAGGCGGGGCCAGGGAGGCTAGCAGGCGGAGAAGACGCCACACCTGGCTCTGCCTCCGGCGCTGCGGCTGCTCCCGGAGTTGCTGCTCCAGCTCCTCGTAGAGGCCACGCACCTCCCTCTCATGCTCGCTTTCCCGCCTTGGGAGCCGAGGATGAGACAGCCTTGAGAACGTGCCGGCCCGGCCTCCACCCCTGTACTGGGGCCCCGGAACCGCGTCGGCCCCACTCTCACCGCCGCAGTGCCTGCTCCAGGCCCTCGCGCTCCCTGGCTGCCTCTGCTAGGCAGGCTGACGCTCGCATCAGAACTTCCTCGAAAGAACCCAGCAGCTCTGGTCTCTCGCGCTGCAGCTGGGCCCACAGGGCCCTCACAGCCGGCTGCCTGAATCAGGCAAGTGCAGACTGAGACCCAGGCTGGCGCGCGAGGGCAGGGGTGGCTCCCCTCTGCCTACCAGGAGATCCCTGCAGACCCCCGCAACCCAGGAGTTTGACCCATGCAACGCATGCCATTCAGGTGTGAGTGCTCTCATCCTGCCCGGGTTCTGTGGCTGGGTACCATGAAGTGCCACTGTATGTGGACAGCCCAGCATGCCACATGCCCAGTGCCTCCCCTCCCCGAAGCTGAGACTGCTTTGTCCTGGAATGCAAATTCTGCGGGAAATCACGCCTGGCGGGCTGACAGATGGCTGGGCCTGATCAGGCCCAGGGACTCTGCGTGGGAACAGAAAGGTGGTCACCGTGGACAGAGCATGCAGCGGGAGAGAGTAGAAGCAGGAACCCGGAGCAAAGCTAGCATCCACTCACTTGCCCAAGACCTGGGCCACTCCCAGCCGCTCCAATGCAGTGCAAAATTGCTCCTGCTCCTCCTCCTCCTCCAGAGAACCCCTGGTGCCCTGCACATCTGACCAGCCCGATTCAAAGGTTTCCTCAGTAGTCCGGGAGGGTTGCATGCCCTGAGCCAACTCCACCCCCACAAACTTCCCTGCAGACATGGGAGGGAGAGATGACGGGACTGTGGGTTACCACCCTGGCCCTCCCCTGCTCACCCCCACCCCCAGCCATATCCTGCCCTCTCTCAGGGCCCAGTTTCCTGTTTTTCTTCCTTATTCTAGTCCTGTTGGCCTGGGAATGGGAGGTGACAGCCAGGCTCCCAGCCCCACCTGGGTTTGGCAGGAGACAGAAAGGGGTTGTGAGCAGAAAGATCAGTGTCATATACTACTATCTGGGGGGTGGAGGTCCCAGGCACTTGAGTGTAGATACAGTGAGTGCCCTGGATCTACAGGGAGTGTGGATACAGCCCAGAGTCCCACAGGAGCCAGACCAGGACCTCTGGTGCTGGGGGAGGCTAAGGCCCAGCTCACCCAAGCCTAAGCTAAACTCCCGGGCAGTGAGGAAGCCAGTGTGGGCCTGGTCCAGACTTTCAAACACAGCCTCCAGCTGCTCAGGTGTGAGGAGTAGGTCACTCTGCAGGCCCTGGCAGAGAAAGGGCAGGGTGAGTGACCAAGGTCAGCCCTGGGCCCAGAGGCTTCTTGTGACTGGTGCTCACCTGCAGGTCCTGCCGGGTGATGAAGCCTTTGGCTTCCTTGTCACATAACAAGAAGAGCTCCTGGGCCTGCTGCAGCATGGTGGCCTGCTGTCCAGTGGAGGCCCCCCCCTCCTCCTCCTCCTCCTCCTCCTCCTGGGATCCCCCAGCCCCTGGCTTGCCAGTAGCCATGAAAACAGGAACCTTGCCTCTGTTGGGTGCTGAGAAACCAAGAGAGAGAAGACATGGGGGGACATGGAGTGGGCCACACGTGCCCTGAGGGCTCTGCCAGAGAGGGGGCCTAGGGCACCAAGGGAGGGCTGGTGTTTGTAAGGGATGCTGCAAGCCTGGGGTGCCCCTGGGTGGAGTGATGCAGACCTGGGGACGAAGCAGGCTGCACAGAACCAGGTATTCCTTGGAACACAAGGAAAGGTATGCCCAGAGGGAACTAGTGCGAGAGGAAAGAGGGTGGGTTCCAGGGGCTAGCTGTAGGAGACCTTATGAGGAGGCCAATGAACTCCTGACAGCCAGAGGAGAAAGAGGTCCAGTGAAGGAGGAGCCCACTTCATGCTGGAGTTGGAGGACTGGGCCAATCCTAGCTAAATCCTTGGCCCCAGACCTGGCCTGTGATGCCCTGGCCTCCTGACAGCTGGCAGGCCAGGTAACTCCTCCCTCCCTGCCCACTGGTCCCTCCCATGGATGACCAGTCCCCATGGGGCACAATGGTAAGCTCCCAGCCTTGGGCACCCGTGCCTCCACAGCCCGAGTCAGCAACACCGATTCTGGCTAATCACCCCTCCTACAGCACTAGTACCCTTCCTTCCCCTGCCCTCCAAGTCTGGGAACCTCTTGGGGCCTCCCTTCCACCTCCCAGAGAGCTCCACCCTTAACCAGAGCCACCTGTCGTTTTCACAGCCTCCAACCCGGATTTCTCAAAGCTACAGCCCGGCCAGAGGCACCTGTCCCGACCTGGGACTCTAGCTGGGGTTAGTGTCTCCTCAGCCCAAGCCTGTCACCTTCGCCCCACCCCGGGCCAGTGTCCCTGAGAAGAGGGGCGATCTCCAAAGACGGCAGGTCGGAGGAAGCTCCAGGCGAGGGGAGGGGACAGGCAGGATCCGGGTCATGTCCCCCAGGCAGCGCCAACGCCTCACCCGGCTCTTGGGCTGCACCGACCCAAGGTCCATCCCAGCCGGAAGCGGCGCTGTGGCCGGGCCAGGCCGGGCCAGAGGGAGGCAGGAGGTAGGGCCAGCGGGTGGGGCCGGAGAGCCATCCGCACAGCCCGCACCCCTGGGGGCCGGCCGATTCGGCCCTGTCCCTGCGCCGCGCGCCGGGAGGGCCACGGACGTCCCCCGACTGGGAGCGCTGGTCGGCGCCCGCCACGGCGGTCGTGAATTGAGACCCAGGACCGAGCCGCGAGGGCGCGGCGGTGGGAGCCGGGTCGCGGGACCCGGGAGCGCCTACCTGGGAGCTGCGCCGCCGCACCTGCCGCGCGCGGGCCGCTCCTCCCGGAAACGCGCGGCGCGCCCCGCCCCTGCTGGGACCCCGACCGCGCCGGGGGCGCTGGCCTCGCAGCCTCGCACGACCCGAGACCCCAGGTGGGCCGGCCCGGGCGGAGCTGTCGCCGGCTGCTGTCGCTGTGTTCCCGCCTCTCCTGCTGCCCTGGCGGCCAGAGATCCCTGGCAGCCTGAGCGGCTGTCCAGGCAGAACCCCGGGGCACAGCTGGGGACCCTTCGGGAGCAGGGTCCAGGCTGCCGGAGTGCAGACACCAACCTTTCAACCCCGAGGATCCAGACTTAAGACGCCAAAAAGTGTGCAGGAAAAAGCCGGCAGGAAGTGGACCAAATTCTTTCAGAGGCTATCTCTAATGCAGTCCCAATTTAGGTTTTTCGAATTTTAAAACAATTACCATGTAATACTAGAAAATGACATTTAACAGAGCACTAAGCGCCCTGTGAGGAGAGTGAATGTGGAGCAGAGAGGGCACATCAGCGGCCCCCCACCCCCAGCACTCCTTTGGGGCACAGCCCTGACCAGGGTTCCCCTGGGGAAGAGCTGAACACAGCGCTCCTGCCTGGAAGAAATCCTGTGCACTTCCTAAGGGTCCTCCTAGCCCCAGCCCGGACTCTGCACCCACCTGGAGGGCTGGCCTGATTGTCACACAATGCTGGGGGCCCTGTGGCCTCTGCTTCTCAAGTGGAACAACAGGCTGGGCCTCTAGGACACTACCTGGAGACCAAGAGGGGGGTGGCCCCTGGCACACAGACCAGGGACCTGCCTGGCCGGCTCACCCAGTCCTGCTGCCCCAGGTCCCACCACCGTTATTGTTGGCTGGGGGCTGCCACCACAACTGACCCACGCCTACTGGGAGGGGCAGGTAGGCACTGAGCCTGGTAGAACTAGGCTCACAGTCAGCTAAGTCAGGTCTCCACTCCAACACCCTCTCTTCAGGGGCTTCTGTGCCCTAAACTGCTCCCTCTGGATAAGGATCACTTCAGGAAACTGCCTTCAAGAACAAAGCCACCTTCAGCTAGGACCTTACCGTGCCTCAGTATTCCAGGTCCCTCCTAGATACAGCAGGAGACAGAGGGACGGAGACAAGAGGGACCGTGCATCTGGCCAGCAAAGCTCGTGATGCCTGGGGGCCAGATGCCCAAGGTGGAGCAGGGGCCAACATTCCCAGGTCCCCAGCCCTCAGCTCCAGGAGCTTTACCTCCTGCAACAGCCCTGTAGTCACTCCGGAGCTGAAGGGCAGGTGACTCCTTTTGTAAACACCCCCCCCCCCAGTGCATGGATGGAATCCAGGCTGTGGTGCATGCCAGGCCAGTGCTCTGCTATTAAGCTGTCCAACTCTATAACATTTTAATTCAGCAAGGATCTTGGACCCAAATATGTCCTTTGGCCCTTGGAAAGCCATGCCAGGAGGTCTCAGGGCAAAGTGGGGGGCATATATACGGGTCCTCAACAAAGCGTAAGAGAAGGCCCCAGCCCAGCTGGCAGGCCCCAAATGTCAGGTCCAACAGCGTGAGCCTGGAAGGCCAGACACCCTGTGTAGAGACACTGGTCAACTAGGAGGAAGCAGGCTCTGTCCACCATGGCCCCAAGCAAAAGTGGGTAAGGGAGGGGCTGGGGATGTGGCTCAAGCGATAACTGCACTCTCCTGGCATGCGCGGGGTGCTGGGTTCGATCCTCAGCACCACATAAAAATAAAATAAAGATGTTGTGTCCACCGAAAACTGAAAAATAAATTAAAAAAAAAAAAGTGGGCAAGGGAGTTATACAGAATGAAGAAAGAAGATTACATAGAAGTGAAGAAGGTAGATGCTGAGCTCTGGCATTTATTACTTCTGCTTTGGCAAAAATAAATAATTCTTCACACATATTCATGAGCGAAACAGGGGAAATGGGTGGGAGGAGCTGATGTGGGGTTCTCAGGGAAGTCCTGCACTGAGAAGGGGCAGGCAAGGGTAGGGGATTAAGGCACAGGTGGAGGGGCCTCTGCAGCCCAAGAGAAGGGGCACTCCACACCCCTCCAAACTCAGTGCAGTGAGTGAGTAGTTGATGGAGGGGGATTCACAGCAAAGCCCCCTCTTTGTGGCCGTGAGGGGTTCTGTCTCCTTGCTCCATAGTAGACAACTAAGAGGCAAGGGATGGGGTCTCAGCCAGTCCCGGAAACCTGAGCCCCATGGGCTGGGGAAGGCTGAGCACTCAGCAAGGAGGCATGCCCGGTGGGTGCTGTGGGGGCATGGGGTCTGTGGGGGTGGGGCCGGCAGGGGTACGCATGCGCAAGGCATCCGGCGGGAAGGCCACATTGGTGCAGAAGAGACCCAGCAGCAGCTGACGCTGGCACTCCTCCCACTTGGCCAGGGCATCCCCAAGTGAGAGGTTGTTGCGCACCCAGCTGGGCAGTGCCTCGCTGTAGGTGGCACAGGACAGTGGCACAGAGGGTAGTGACTGGGCACGGCGCAGCTCCATCTGCTCCGAGAGCCTGTAATGAAGGCATCAAAGGTAGACAGGGCTTAGTGGGGGTCCCTCAACCCAAAGGCTCTGGGCCTGAGGACAGGGGTGGCTCACCTGGAGGGCAGGTGGCTGCCCAGCTTCCTCTTGGCACGCATCACCAGGTATTGGCAGATGCTGCCCGTCTGCTCCTTCATCCATCGGATGTCCTCTGGAACATCAGGCAGCCACTCCAGCAAGCTGGAGGGTCGGGGAAGGCACACCTTCAGCATCTGTGTCCAGGCCCTCCCAGCTTCCCCAGCCTAAGCATCCCTCCTGGGCGACCCCAGTTCCCCTCTCCCAGCCCTGGTTCCCTGCCCGCACCGAATGGTGAAGGACACAGCACTCTCCAGTGGCAGCGTGTAGGGCACCATCATAGCTGTGGCCAGACGCACTGGCAGCATGTTGGACAGAGTGGTCATCAGGTCCCTGGGCTCCACGCAGGCTTCCAGCAGGGCTGTGCAGGGGATGAGGGCAGCCAGTCAGGGAAGCAGAGCAGCCCAGGGTGCTGTGCCAGGCTTCCACACTGCTGGCCCCTCCTCCTCCCTTCTCTCCCAGTGAGTACCCTCATTGAGCCGGGCAGGCAGGTGGTCTAGGATGTGATCTTCCCTGGGCGGCTGCAAGTGGTCCTCTGCTCCAGTCTTCTCTGTGACCGCAGTAGCCTCCTCTGTGTCTTCCTCCTTTGGGTCACAGGGGCGGGTGGGAGGCAGTGCCAGCAAGGGGTTGGGCCTGTTCAGGAGGCCTGGGATGGAGGTGGGGGTGCGACAGAAAAGTGATCAGCGCAGTCATGGTCACTGCTGGCCTGCAGTGGGCAGCAGAGCTGGCTCCACCCATCCTGCAGCTACCCACGCACCGTTCCTCCGCAGGAAGCGCAGACCATCCCTGTAGCCCTGTTTGCACATCTCTCGAAGTACCTGCAGCAGGGGTATAGGTGAACTGGAGCAGATGGAGCCGAGGGTGCCCTGTGCTGTCCTCCAGAGTCTCTAGGTCCCTACAACAGCACCTCCATTCCAACCTCCCGCCACCACCAACTGTCTCAGATCCAGCCCAGGGTCCAGGCTGGACAGGCTGTCTCCCCTGGAGAAAGCACGGGCCACAGCCCTGCAGAGCAGCCCACCATCGGTTCTGGAGGGAAGAGGGCCTTGGAGAGGCGGTAGAGGTTGCGCAGGTTGAACTGGATGCTGGTGTTGGTGACCCGGAGCTCATGGAGGTTGGTGGAGCTGTCCTGTGGGCAGATGTCACTCTCTCCCGAGAAGGGGGACACCGTGATGGTGTTCTTCAGCTCATAGAGTGGCAGGTTGTCTGAAATGCCGCCATCCACATAACGCTTCACAGGGACACAGACGCATGGTCACAAAGTGAGGGACTTTCCAGGTGTGCTGGCTGCCCCACCCAGTGGCAATTTCTTTTGGCCTTTCACACTGGGCACTGTCCATGGGCTGG